CGGGCCACTCGGCCACGTGGTCAAGACACGAGCTGGAGGGGTTCCTGACGCAGCCATCGCTGTGGGGTGTGAGCAGAATGTGGGGAGACGGACGCGAGTGGGAGTGGTCTTGCTTTAATGAAACCCAGTCCCCTCCGTGAGCAGGTCCCTGTCTGATCCGGGCCCTTAGGTATTAAATGTGAATGAAGGCCCGGGCAGTGTGGCTCAGTGGTTAGAGTGCCGGCCCTGCACCGAAGGGCCGTGGGTTCGATTCCTGGTCAGGGGCACGTACCTGGGTTGTGGGTTCCAGTCCCGCCCGGTCGGGTGCTTGTGGGAGGCAGCCGGTTGGAAGTGGTAACAGGTAGTAGGTGTCCTTGCAGCTGTTAGGGGCTTCGCAGGGGGGATGACAGCAGCACGAAGGCAACGTGCGTTTATCCAAAAGGAACACATTTCAGCTGCTGATTCCTTGGTGGGTTCAGGCCCGTGGGCCGCGAGCTCGGCCCTGTCACCTGAACTGAGGGGGGTCTGGAGGCGCGGCCGAACCAGAGTTCCCGTGGCCTCGCTCCTGTGCGGGTGGTGTCACCGTGTAGCCCAGGCCCGGGACCAGGGCTCACTCGGGACACGGTCAGTATTAAACGACCCGCATCAAACAGACCCGCTGCCAACGCGAGGCCCTCGCACAGCCCTGTCTGTCACAGCGTCACCTGTCAGCCCGCGTGTCGGGCGCGTCCCAGCTGCAGCCCCAGCGCCGTCCACGTCAGGCACCGCAGTGACTCAGAGCAGCCGCCGCCACCAACAGGACAAGGTCCCCGTCCGCTTCCTCGGGGTAAACTGACCTGGTCTCTCGTCTCGGAGCGGGGACTGTGGCTGCCGTGGCCGCAGAGGTGACCTGGGTGCCCTGGCCCTGGTATGCTGCACCCCGAGGTCAGCAGGCTCAGGGCGTCCTCCTTCCTGCACCCCGAGGTCAGCAGGCTCAGGGGCACCCTCCTCCCTCCACCCCGAGGTCAGCAGCTCAGGGGCGCCCTCCTCCCTGCACCCCGAGGTCAGCAGGCTCAGGGGCACCCTCCTCCGTGCACCCTGAGGTCAGCAGCTCAGGGGCATCCTTCTCCTCCCTGAACCCCAAGGTCAGCAGGCTCAGGGGCGCCTTCTCCAGCTCTAGAGATGTTTCTAATTCACGGGAATTGGGTCGTGGGACAGACACGGATGAGAGAGGCAGAGAGCAGAGACCGAGGCCGGGTCAGGAGCCTGTCGGTCACTCTGTCCTTTGCTAGGACGGCCGGGGGGACACCGAGCGGCGGTTTCTTGGACGCGCCGCCTATGAGCAGATCAGGGTGTGACAAGTGTGAGACTAGGGGCGCAGGGTATGTGCCACGACCCCATGGCACGTGGCTTCCCCGTGATGCAGGGCGTGTGTCCACGCAGACACTCGTCCCCACGCAGCCCGTGTGGGGGACACGCTCCGGAGAGGCTGTGCTGACCTACCAGGCCTGTGGCTGCTCAGCACCTGCCTCGAGCTCATGGGTTAGAACGTCGGCTTCTCAGCCTATCATTTCCTCCAGGGCTGTGTCCCTGCAGTGGGTTCCTCCCTTTTTCCTGTTACCTTCTCGGGCGGTGGTTCGGTTCTTCGTCACGTCCCGCACACGCCGTGCTGTGGAGCGAGCTCGTGTGTCCTTCACTCTCGTCGGGGTTCCGCGTGGGCCTCCGGGCTCCAGCCCACGTGCTCTGGGCGGGTCCCTGCAGGTCCTCCCTCTGGGCCGGGCCCTGCAGGTCATTCCAGGTCCATCTAGGTCCTGGCTCCGGGCCGGTCCCTCTGGGTCCCTCCAGGCCGAGCTCGGTGCCGTGGGCTCCTGCGAAATGTGCTTGCGGGGTTCCGCGCAGGTGTTGTGGGATGAGTGCGCGTTTTGTCTTCCTTCTGTGAGCACTGGCACATGTTGAATACTTCCTCTCTTCGCTTAGGTCAGCGGTTCTCAACCTGTGGGTCGCGACCACTTTGGGGGCCGAATGACCCTTTCACAGGGGTCGCCTAAGACCATCGGAAAACATATATAATGAATGACATATTGTTTTTGTGATTAATCACTATGTTTTAATTATGTTCAATTTGTAACAATGAAAATACATCCTGCATATCAGATATTTACATTACGACTCATAACAGTAGCAACATTACAGTGAGGAAGTAGCAACGAACATAATTTTATGGTTGGGGGTCCCCACAACACGAGGAACTATATTAAAGGGTCGCAGCGTTAGGAAGGTTGAGAACCACTGGCTTAGGGCGTGGGGTCTGGGCAGGCAGGTGGGCGCATCCAGCCCAGCAGGTGTGTGCAGGTGCCTCTCAGGTCGTGCTCACGGGTGCAGGTGGCAGGGGTGGCCCGGCAGGCGGAAGGGGGTTCCCGCTTACACAGCGAGCTTGCACTTCCAGCAAATGCTGCGCCGTCAGTAGACATGCTGTTCACGTCGTATTTGACCTCTAAAAAGAGTGATTAAAACTGAAACCGTCACGTGGGTTTATTCTGCACGATACAGAAGAACTCCGATTTTCAGAGAATGTGATTGAATTGCCACCTTCATGGGAGGATGTTTTCCCCTGGGGTTGGGATCTTACAGAGACTCACAGAGCACACAGGCCAGGAACACAGTTGGGTTTCTCATCACCTTAAAAGTTGTTCCTTTCGCCTTTGGGTGAGTTATAGGGGGTTTTTAAATAGGTTTTGTAAAATACGTTTTTGCTCAAAGGCAAACATTAAATTAGGGAAATGCTTCAAGCCTTTGAGACTCGGTTTCATTTGGGGGAAGTTCACGCTTCGTTGGGAGGTACAGGGAGCCGCAGGAGGTAGGGAATCTTCCACTCGGCCAGCAGCTGGCTGCCGGGAACTTGGCGCAGTTCCAAACACACATTCCTCGGCCCGGGGTGGGGGG